CTCCTCCTCCTCCTCCTCCTCCTCCTCCTCCTCCTCCTCCTCCTCCTCCTCCTCCTCCTATCGTCTGGTGGTTTTGGGGAACTTGAGCCTCTGGCGGCCGTTCCGGACGATCCGGGCACCTCCATAACGCCGTCGGCGAGGCACAGCTGCTGGAAGGCACCCCGAGGCTGCAACACCGCCGAGGACAAGTTGAAACGCTCGAAAACCTCCAACCATGGGCCGAAAACCTCCTCCTCCTTCTCCTCCTCCTCCTCCTCCTCCTCCTCCTCCTCCTCCTCCTCCTCCTCTCAAGAACCATCTTGGCCCGAGCTGGGCGCGCGCGGGGCGCGCCTCTCGTGCCGAGATGCCCTCGAGCTGAATGCCCCTGGCGCGGGCGCCATCCGCGAGGGGCTGCCGTTCTTGAGGCGCGCGTGTAGATTGGCGCGTAATCGAAGGAAGATGTCAGGGCAAGGCAGTGCTGTGGCTTGGTGTACCTTGGGCGGAGGCCAATGCATCTACATTGGCTCCCTGTTGCTGGGGGAGCGTTTGGTGGACGGCCTCCTTGAGAAACTCAATGTGGAGAACACCAAAGTTGTGCCTAAGATGAACAGGAAGATCGAGTTGGAGGTGCTGCAGGACGACCTGCCGCCCACCCCGTGCTTCCCGCACCTCTCCGACGAGGCGCTGCAGGCTCAGCCGACGGGTCTCGTCGGCGACGATTACGGCACCAAGATGCTGAAGGTGCCATGCGGCAGGGACAGCGACGAGCCGCAGATCGCAGAGATCGAGAAGGCGGCCCAGGCCAATCTCCACTGGCTCGAAAGGAACTTGCTGGACAAGGGGCCCAACTTCAAGGGCAAGCAGAAGGAGCGGGAGGGCCTCAGCGATTGCATCTCTGCCGAAGCCGACCCGAAGGCTAAGCTGCTCCCCCTCCACCCCGAGGCGGACCAGGAGCAGCACGGGCACCACAACGTCGAGAAGAAGAGCGACACCGAGAAGGCGGACGAGATGGAGGAGGGCAGTGCTGGCCCTCCAGGTCCGTCCCCGTATGGAGCGAGGGAGTCGCGGACGCGCGAACTGCAGCCCCCCCCCTCCATGCGCCCTGCAGCCGCGGCCCCAGACGGGGGGTGGCCGACGCCCGCGGCTGCAGGCGTTGACGGCGTTGACCTCGAGGGCCCAGCCAAGTGCGCCGTCAAGGATTCCGCGATCCCCGACGACGGCGCCGAGAAGGTCACCGAGCCGAACGTCGCGGCGCAGCAGCACGCAGAGGGCGACGAGAAGAAGGACGGCGCGGACGAGATGGAGGAGAAAGGCGACCCCGTGGAGCAGCACGAGGTTGACGCCAAGACGGAGCTGAGCGAACGCAGCGCCTCCAGGAGAATTTCGTCAGGCACGGCCCGGCACACGAGGCAGACGGACGCGCACTACTTGCTCATGCGCGACCCTGTCGCCACGGACTACGCGTCCAACATGTTCGGAGACTGGATCAAGACAGTGGAGCAGGCCACGCTGACCCACCACGAGATTGAGGACGAGCAGCGCGACCGCTTCGTCGCGGCGCAGCAGCACGCAGAGGGCGACGAGAAGAAGGACGGCGCGGACGAGATGGAGGAGAAAGGCGACCCCGTGGAGCAGCACGAGGTGGGCGAGTTCGACGGCGCGGACGGCCCCACGGTGCAGCGGGCCCCCTTCGGCAACTTCATCTCCAAACACCGCCCGAGCGAGCCGAAGAACGGCCTCGAGAACTACTGCTTCACGCTGAACAACACCCTGCGGCTGGCGAAGGAACACGGGCAGTTCCAGGACAGCGACGAGCCGCAGATCGAGAAGGCGGTCCAAGACACTCTCCACTGGCTCGAGAGTAACTTGCTGGACGCGGGGGCCGACTTCGAGGGCAAGCAGAAGGAGCTGGAGGACATCGTCGACCGCATCTCGGTCGCAGTCGACCAGAAGTATATGCTGTTCTCCCTCCACCCTGAGGCGGATAAGATGCAGTGCGGAGATACGGGCTCTAACTCCAGCGACCTGGAGGACGAGGAGGCCGACGAGGCGCTGGCCGTCGTGGACGACGGGACGAAGGAGGCCGACGAGGACGACACGGACGAAAGCTCCGCCGTCATCCTGGCAGCACTCCACAGCGCCACCCTGGAGCTCCTGTTGGCCCTGCGAAGGTGTTCGTGCATGGCCGCGTGCGGGACGCGGTGCAGAGTTGGGTGAAAGACTCCTCGAGAGTCGGCGGATCCTGGCTCACGTGGAGAGAGGGAGTGCGAAGGCATTCCGATGGGCCGTCAGTCGGCCGTGCGTTCGTGTTCACGACATTCGGAGTCGTCCTGCCCAGAGCTCCCAGAGTTCCTCCTCCTCCTCCTCCTCCGCCTCCTCCGCCTCCTCCTCTTCCTCCTCCTCCTCCTCCTCCTCCTCCTCCTTCCCCTCCTTCCCCTCCCGCTCCTCCCGCTCCTCCCGCTCCTCCCCCTCCTCCTCTCCTCCCTCCTCCTCCTCTCCTCCTCTCCTCCTCCTCCTCCTCGACCTCCTCCTCCTCCTCCTCGACCTCCTCCTCCTCCTCGACCGTCCTCCTTCTGCTCCCCTCCTCCTCGTCCTCCTCGACCTCCTCCTCGACTACCCCCCTCTCCTCCTCCTCCTCGACCTCCTCCTGCTGCTCCTCCTCCTCCTGCCTCCTGCTGCTCCTCCTTCCTCCTCCTCCCCTCCCCTCCTCCCTCCTCCTCGACTCCTCCTGCTGCTCCCCTCCCCGGCTCTCCTCCTCCTCCTCCTCCTCCCCTCCTCCTCCTCCTCCTCCTCCTCCTCCTCTCCCGCTCTCCCCCTCACTCCTCCTCCTCCTCCTCCTCCTCTCCTCATCCGCCTCCTCCTCGACCTCCTCCTGCTGCTCCTCCTCCTCCTCCTCCTCCTCCTCCTCCTCCTCCTCCTCCTCCGTGGAAACATAGCACGGCTGGCGCCCCCGAAAGAGGAGAGCGACTCTGGCCTGACGCTCCAGCGGCCCATCCCTGCACCGGCTCAGCTGGGCGCCTGCGGCCGCCACGGAGGGGGGGGGGCGACAGATGTAGAGCTCGCCCCGAGGGGTGGAGGACGATATAGCAGAGAGAAAGGGGCGGGAAACTGAGATCTGGGCGTTGCACTTTTCTCACACCGGGCGTTTTCGCCCCGCTTCGGGCCCGGGAACCATCACAGATCGATCTGGCGCGAAAGCAGGCTGCAGGAAGATGGGGTGCAGGGCTCCGGCCGTGGCTTCGTCGCGATGCTGCAGCACGTGTCCGCAGCGTCGGATCTCAGGGGGTCGAGGCCGGAGGTGTCGACGCTGCCAGTTACCGAGGGAGGCCGGCGACGAGGAGGACACGGCGTGCGCAGAGGGGGGAACGACCGGCGAGGCGACGGGGCACAGGGCACCCGCGCCCCTCCTCTGCCTCGCGCCGGGCGGCCTGTTGCCGGGGCGGCGAGGACCAACGCCGTGCAGCAGGAGGAGGAGGAGGAGGAGGAGGAGGAGGAGGAGGAGGAGGAGGAGGAGGAGGAGGAGGAGGAGGAGAGAGGAGAGAGGAGGGAGGAGGGACAGGAGGGGATGGAGCAGGGAGCAGGGAGCATGGAGGAGGGAGGAGGGAGGAGGGAGGGGGGAGGAGGAGGAGGAGGCGGCACCCTTTGTAGTCGCCGAGAAGGCGGTCGTTACACAGTGCTACATACGCCACTGCCCGCGACTGGGGCTGTGCCCGTCCAGCCAGCTCTTGGCCGTTCGCCGCCGCCCGTCGCCGCCGTCCGCCGCCGCACCATTCTGGCCACGATTCTGATACAGTCGAGGCGTTGACCTAAGGAACCCTAAATAAGGAACGAGGCCCCTTTTTTTCATGGGTCAAACTTCGATTTCCCGTCGAAGACACAAGGAAAACCTGAGGTAAGCTGTGAAACACTGAAGGAACGCGGAGCCCCTCCCCAGCGAAAAGGGTTCCTTCTTCAGGGCCACGATTCTGATAGTGCGAGTCTCGCACTTCGCGTGTCTTCGCACTGCTTTGCCTGCGCCCTGCCGAGCGGAGGGCGCGCCGCTCCGCTCCGCGGGGCCGGAGGGGGGGGCGGGGCGCCCCGGGGGCGGGGAAGCAGCCCAGCGCGTCGCGCCGAGGGCGCGGTGGGCCAGAGACGGCAGAGCGCTGCGCCTGCCAAGAGCTCCCGACCGTGAGGCGGCGACTCGGCGAATCGGCGACGGCCCGCATGGGCCATGACCAAGATCGGCATCGGCACGGCCCCGCGACATCTTGGCCGTGGTCCCCGTGTTTCTTCCCTCGACGACCCCCCTTCAGGCGCGCGCAGGGGAACGGGGGGGGGGGGCCACCGCCGACCAGATTATCCGAGCGACGCCTCTGGACATGCACGTGCTCCTTCCGCTCGCTCCCCCAGCGGCGGCACAGACGTGGGGGCACTGGGCGGCGCGCGGGGGGGGTGCCAGGGGGGCCAGGGGGGAGGCTTCGCAGAAAGAGGCTGCTTCTTTACGACGCCGGCGCCTTCTGAGGAGCAGGGGTGCTCCTGAGAAGCCTTCCCCCCCTCCCAGACCCCTCCCCCCCACCCCCCCTCTGCGCGTGGCCGAGGCACGGACCTGGAATGGGGTGCAATGCGACCAGACTTGCGAAGCGCAGGCAGCCGCGGAGACGCGGGCCCTCCGGGACAAGCAGCGACGTCGGTGCCCCGTGCTCTTCTGAGGACGAGCCGCACACTCGCGCGCGTCTGGCGGGGTGGGTGCCGCCCGGCGAAGAGCTGGGCCGCCACGGAGACGAGCACGGGCCCTGTGATGCGACGTTGCCACGACCGCAGCCCCACAGACCCCATCTGTCTGTCGCACTTGTTTCAACCTGGATCGATATGTGATGGCCCCTGGGCCCGAAACCTGGCGAAAGCGCCCGGCGTGGAAAAGGTGAGGGGCAACGATATGGGGGACTGGCACAGGGGGGGGGGGGGGGGGGGGGGGGGGGGGGAAACAACGACCTGGAATCGGCGATATATCGACGATGGATCGGCGCCCGATGGTGAATCCGCACGTTCCTGGGCGGGGGTAGGCTATCGGGCCCCTATCGACGATGAATGGGCCATTGGGGTTCGATGTACCCCCCCTATGCCTATCCCCCCCGATCGCTGTCTTTGAAAAGGTCGCAGCACCCGGATCTCAGGGCCAGGCGGGCCGGTGCGCGCAGGCATGCGCACCGCACCCGAGCGCCACGCGGCCGCGCCCGCGCACTCCCTCAGAGCGCCAGCCAGGCCACCGCGGCGGCGAGGGCGGCGACGCCGAGGCGGGATCGCGGGGATCCTGAGAGGCCAGAAACTCTGCACACCGGCCGCGAACTGGACCGAGAACCGAGAACCGGGCCTGGAGCCGAACCGGCCGAAGCGAACTGGGAGGAGAACGAGGAGGAGGAGGAGGAGGAGGAGGAGGAGGAGGATAGCAGGGGAGGGAGGAGGAGGAGGAGGAGGCATGAGGAGGAGGAGGAGGAAGGAGGAAGGAGGAGGAGGAGGAGGAGGAGGAAGGAGGAGGAGGAGGAGGGGGAGGGCAAAGAGGAGGAGGATGAGGAGGAGGAGGAGGAGGCGGAGGAGGAGGAGGAGGAGAAGGACGAGGAGGAGGAGGAGGAGGAGCAGGCCGAACCGACCCGGCCCGCTGCGCGAACCGAAGCGGCCGAACCGAACGGATCGTCGAAGCCACCCTGGGAGGCCAGAGGCTCTGGGCAGGCACTTTTGGAGTCGCGGCGCGGGCGGGCGCTCCCCGCGCGGGGTGGCCCGAGGGGCCTGCGGGATGGCAGGTCGGCACCGTGGCGGCGGAAAGAGAGGAGGGCGGCCGCTCTGGGGAAGCACGCGCGGTCCTGCAAGTCAGAATTATCTTCAACATCTAGATCACCTAACTCCGCGCATCGCGCAAGGCGAGACGCGATCATCCTCGCGCACTCCGCGAGTGACCCAGCGACGCCCGCCCGACGTGCACGCTCGTGTGGCTTCCTGCCCTCCCGGGTCCGCTGTTCTCGTTCATGGTGCAGTGGAGGCGGCTCAGGACGACGGGTGAGGCATCCTGCAGGATGGCGGTCGCGGACTCCTTGAGGGCCAGGTGCTCCATGTATGCCATGTTCACCATGGCGGCGGAGCGGTTCGCCATGCTCTTCTGGACGTAGGCTGGCATGTTCGCGGTGATAGTTGGCGTGATCTTGCTCATGCCTGGGGTAGAAGAATACACGTCGGCATTAACATACATATGCTTTCGGAGGTCCGCGCGGATTTCTCGGATCGGCGCTGGACCCCCTCCCCTGGCTGGCGTGCGCGCGCAGTGCGCCAGAGGTGGCGCCATAGGCGTCACCTCCTCCTCCTCCTCCTCCTCCTCCTCCTCCTCCTCCTCCCCCTCCTCCTCCTCCTCCTCCTCCTCCTCCTCCTCCTCCTCCTCCTCCTCCTCCTCCTCCTCCTCCTCCTCCTCCTTCTGCTCCTCCTGGGCAGCGCCGCCGTTCTTCCTCCCTCGGGGCGCGCCGTCGAGCGTCTCCCTCTGCAGCCCGAGGCTCTTGTAAGCGGGCTGCATGCTGGTGCGGACTAGGTCCCCGATCACGCCGCAAGCCTCGGTGATGTTGCCGATGCCGTGGGTCAGGCGGGCCTCTTCGTCCTCCTCCTGCTCCTCCTCGATCTCCTCCTCCTCCTCCTCCTCCCCTCACTCCTCCTCCTCCTCCTCCTCTCCTCCTCCTCCCCCTCGTCCCTCGTCCTCGTCTCCACCTCCTCCTCCTCCTCCTCCTCCTCCTCCTCCTCCTCCTCCTCCTCCTCCTCCTCCTCCTCCTCCTCCTCCCCCTCCTCCGCGGCCTGAAGGGAGTCCTTGGCCCCTGGCGGCGACCTCTCAGAGGCTCATGTGCCGCCCTTGCGTTGATGCGCGATACAGTGAGACCACTTCCCAGCGGGTGCCGGCCTCCTCCTCCCGCCCATCCTCCTGCTTCTCCGCTCCCCGCGCGCGGGGGGGGGGCAGGGAGAGGAGGGGACGAAAATGATGGCGAGGAGAGAAAAAAGGAGAAAGGAGAATAACAAAAAGACGCGGGAGGAAAAGTAAAAAGACCAGCGGGAAGAGTAGTGGGAGGAGACGGACAATGCTTCCTCTTCCTCCTCCTCCTCCTCCTCACCTCCTCCTTCCTACCTCCCTCCTCCTCCTCCTCCCTCCTCCCACTCCTCCTCCCTCGTCCTCCTCCTCCTCCTCCGCCATCCTCCTCCTCCTCCTCCTCCTCCTCCTCCTCCTCCTCCTCCTCATTCAAGCCTCGTTGATGCCCAGGAGGTGGTTCTTGAACTCGACGCTCTCCGTCACCCCCTTAACCGCCAGGGCCAGCGTGTAGGTGAGCTTCTCACCGTTGGCTTTGTCCCAGCCTGCAGGCGCGCAAACACGTCCACCACCAACGCCTCGTTTCCCGCCTCCTCCTCCTCCTCCTCCTTTTCCCTGCTCCTCCCTCCTGCCTCATCCGCCCTGGTGCCTATGGGCCACAGGAAATAGCCCAGGGCGCGACATCCAAATGAAAGATGGTGTCGAGAGGTCCTGGGCAGGAGTGAGAAAGAGGATCGGGAGGCGGAGAATGTGGCCAGCGGCTGGCAGTAGGAGTTTGAAGGTTCGAGTGTGCTTCTCCCTTTGGGTCTCCTGGCAGGCCCTGGTCACCACGGCTGGGTACGCCCCGAAATCATGGCCAGAACGCCCCACAGAACAGATGCCGGGGTCTCCTCCTCCCATCCTCCTCCTCCTCCTCCTCCTCCTCCTCCTCTTCCTCTCCTCCTCCTCCTCCTCCTCCTCCTACCTCCTTCTCCTCCTCCTCCTCCTCCTCACCCTCCTCCTCCCTCCTCCTCCTCCTCCTCCTCACTCCTCCTCTCCTCCCCTCCTCCTCCTCCTCCTCCTCCTCCTCCTCCTCCTCCTCCCCCTCCACCCTCCCCCTCCCCCTGCTCCTCCTCTTCCTCTCCCTCCTCCTCCGTCCTCCCCCTCCCCTCCTCCTCCTCCTCCTCCTCTCCTCCTCCTCCTCCTCTCCTCCTCCTCCCTCCTCCTCCCTCCTCCCCTCCTCCTCCCCCTCCTCCTCCTCCTCCTCTTCCTCCTCCTCCTCCTCCTCCTCCTCCTCCTCCTGGGGAAGGGGAGTATAGGCCTCCCCCCGCCCCACAAACGGGCGCCGTGCAGGCAAGAACGGCTGGCCTTTGCTGCCCCGCCCCCAGAGGCCCTCGCGGAGCGATTCGGCCGAGACCTCCAGCACAAGGATGGAGTCGTTGGCTCGGGCCGTGTGTGCTTCACGACGCAGTACAGTCGACCCGCATCAGAAGGATGCGCGGTGAGGATGGCAAGGGCCTTGGAGGGACACGTTGGCATTTTTCGAACGAGGCTAGCCAGCCAGAGTCGCCAAGGATGGGCCGAAGGGGCAAGGATGCAAGGGTAGCCTTGGGAAGGTCGCCCATCCATACTATGCGGGTTGACTGTATGACGCAATGAGTTGTCACGTCGCTTGACGGGTCTCATCTTTCCAGCGAAGGGAAGGAGGGGAAGAGGAGCACTGGCAGCGCGAATGGTTGGCCCCCTGGCAAGCCGTGCAACCGGGTCATCAGCGCCTCCTTCGTCTGCCCGAAGTCCCTGATCTCGGCCTTGGTATCGCCGATGAGCTGGGCCAGCTTTGCAAGGAACTGGTGGTCGTCGTAGTCCTGGTGGGTGCTCTTGAAGGTGTCCACCTTGTACCTGATCGTCTCCAGCATCTTGGCGGCCGCGGCGGCGTACTTCGCCCTCGAGCCGTCGAGCCGGTCTTCGATCCAGAGGGCGGTCATGTTCTCGGGCCCGAAGCTGGAGAGATTCTTGGTGATGGCCGCCAGATCCTCTGCGGGAGCAAGAATAAAAGAAAAACAACACAAACGTAGTGTTAGCCAACGTGGGCCCCAAACAATAAGTTCTTGCAGTCGATGCGGTGCAATCGATGTGGTGCAATGTATGCGATGTAACCTGCGCAATACAATCTGCGCGGTGCAAGCTATGAGGTGCAACATATGCGGTGCAATATATGTGGTGTCATCTAGGCGGTGCAACCTATGTGGTGCAATCCACTTTGACCGTCTTGAAGCTGTCCTCTCCACTGCTCGTGCAAACATCCCACCCTCCCACCCGCAACTTGGTTTGCAAAACCCACGACGACGACGATGACGACGCCAACGACGACGACAACGACGACACCGACGACGACGACGACGTCAACGACGCCGACGACGACAACGACGACGACGTCGACGACGACGACATCGGACGACGACGACGACGACGACGACGACGACGACGACGACGACTAGCAAGCCCTTCGATCCAGCAGAAGACCACGCGGGCGGGCGCCGGGCCAGCTGCGGGCGGGCGCCGTGCCAACGCAACCACGATTCTCGCGAGCCTCGGGCCCCCCCTTTCCCCGCCCTGCCGCCGCGACGACGACGACGACGACGACGGACGACGACGACGACGACGACGACGGACGACGACGACGACGACGACGACGACGACGACAACGACAACGACGACGACGACGACGACGACGACCACGACGACGACGACGACAACGACGACGACGACGACGACGACGACGACGACGACGACGACGACGACGACGACGACGACGACGACGACGACGCGCGCGCATGTGTCCCGCATGGTATTATTTGACACGGACAGTGGCCCTGGCAGGCGCGCGAACGTCGTTGAAGGAGCGCGCGAAAGTAGCTCGCACGAGCTCGTGCGACCGAAATGTTGAAAAAAAAAAAACATTGGTTTTTTAAGGTTCGGACAGCGCGAGCGGGCAAAATTTTGAAAATCCGTGCAGGTTTTTTTCGAGGACCTACGGTGCGATTCGTGTGTTTTTATGATACGCAATGCCGAAATGCTCCAGAAACCCAATGGTTTTTGACGATTTCGGCGCGCGCGCGCGAAGAAAAAACGAATGTGTCCCGCATGGCATTCTTTGACAAGGATTATGCCCCTGGCAGGCGCGCAGCCGTTGTTGAAGAAGTTCGAAGCGCCGGAAAAAGTTGCTCGCAAGAGCCCTTTTGACAGAAATGTTGAACAAGTAATGGGTTTCCTAGGAATCCGCAAGAGCGCGCGGGATGAATGTTTGAAACTTTTTTTTTGAAAAACCATTGGGTTTTTGATGTTTTTATGTTAAAATCGCTACGAACACTAAGGTTTTGGAAGGATTTCGTCTTGCGCGCGCGAATGTGTCCCGCATGGTATTATTTGACAGGGATTAGTGAAACAGTGTTATGTTAGAAAGAAAAATGTCCCCGCATAGTGTTATCTGACAGGGAACCGCAGGGGGGGGGATACCGGCTTGGCTGGGATGGTATGAGTTCATATTTCGGATGGACATGTGGTCAGAATCATATGTGATTTACAGCACGCGCGGGGGAAGCGATAAGTCCGGGGGGGGGGGGGTAGAATCTGTTACTCTTTTAGAAAGGAGAATTAATTTCTGATCGCAGTGAGTTGTCCACTCCACTGCTCGCGCAAACATCCCACCCACCCACCTGCAACTTGGTTTGCAAACCTCCTGCGGCGGCGATTGCGATGAGTGCTTGGCGCTGGCTGGTGCACCTCTGCGGCAGCGCCAGCCCGCGCATGCGCGCGCGCGCGCAGCGGCCAGGTAGTTTGGCGCGACCGACGCGGCCGAGGTGGTGCTGACCGCTCAGCACACCCCAACGGGCACTCGAGTGCGAGTCGGCGACTTGGGCGGGTGCGGTATCATGGCGACGTCGACTATTGTAGACACGATGATGATGATGATGATGATGATGATGATGATGATGATGATGATGATGATGATAGTAACGATGTTGGTGACGATGCTGACAGCGACGACGGCACGGCCAATGACGGCGCCGATACCAATCACGCCTGCGACGATGACAGCGTCTTCGAGTCGGTGAAGAAAGTTTTGGAAGGAATTCAAAATGCGCGCGCGGCAGACGCGCGAGTGGATCGCATAGAATTCTTTGACACGGATCGTGCCACCCCAACACGCGCGCAAGGGCGTTCGAACGATTCCCACATGCGCGCGCGAAGCCCGTTTGGTAGCATTTTATTTAACGTTAGAAAACAACGAACGCATGGTTTTCTTAAGAATTCGCCAGAACGCATGCGCACGCTTTTGTTGAAAATCCGCGTTGCGAAACCATGTGTTTGTTGTATTTCTTGTTGGGGCACTCGATTTTGAAATCCTTCCGAAACCAAAAGTTTTGAAGGGTTTCGGCATGTGCGCGCAACGTCGCGCGCGCGCGCACTTCGTCCCATCTGTTGCAAAGGATTCTCGCGACGGCACGCGCGCAAGGGCGTTCGAACGATTCCCACATGCGCACGCGCTCGAAGCCCGTTTGGTAGCATGTTCCGAAAATATTGGACAACATACAGTTTTCTTGAGAATTCGCAGGAACGCACGCGCATGCTTTTGTTGAAATCCCGTGTTGCGAAACCCTGTGTTTTACGTGTTTTTTGGACACTCGATTTTGAAATCCTCGCGAAACCAACGGTGTCTGTTTTAGGGATTTCGGCATGCGCGCGCGACGACGCGCGCATGCTCATTTCGTCCCGTTTTTGTGCAAGGGGCGATTTGCAACTTCTGATTTTTGATAAACGAATGCGCGCTCATAATATTACTATTTGTTGCAAAGGATGGCGGGCGGGACCGATGCCGGCCTGGCTGGGGTAGTATGAATTCACAGGTAGGATGGACATAGGGACAGAATCCTATGCGTTCGGTTTCGTTCCCATAGAGGAAACAGAACTATGCACATACACCGATTCTGGCCAGGCCCATCCTGAGCCAGGCATCGGTGCATACGCCCTCCTACCTTGGTCAGGAAGGCATATGCACCGATCCTGGGTCAAGGATGGGCCTTGCCAGGATCGGTGCATGTGCATAGTTCTATTCGCCCGATCCCAGGGGTCTTTAACCCCGGAGGGGAAAGGTGGTGGGACCCATCTCCTTTTAGAGAGGAGAACCTACGCGATGCAACCTGTGCAAGGCAGCGTACGCGGTGCAGCCTACGTGGCGCAATTGATCACTTGCCAAACTTGAGGTTGTCAACTCCGCTGCTCGCGCAATCATCCCGCCCGCCCAACCGCAACTTGGCTCGCAGAGCGGAACGATTGCGATGAATGCTGGGCGTTGACTGGTGCACCTCTGCGGCCGCGCTAGCCCGCGCATGCTCGCGCGCGCAGCGGACAGCTAGTTTGGCGCGACCGACGCGAACGCGGCGGCGCTGACCGCTCGGCACATCCCAGCGGGCACTTCACTGCGAGTCGGCGACTTGGGCGGGCACGGTATCGTGGCAATGTCGACGACGGTAGACGCGATGATGGCAGTAGCGATGCTGGTGACGACGCTGACAGCCACGACGGGGCAGCCAGTGACGGCGCCGACGCCAATCACGCGGACGACGATGACGTCCTCGCGTCGGTGATGAAGGTTGGGAAGAATTCGACATGTGCGCGCGGCAGACGCGCGAGAGTGGATCGCATGGTATGATGTGTTACGGATCGTGCCACCCCAGTACGCGCGCAAGGGCATTCGAACGGTTTCGACATGCGCACGCGCGAAGCCCGCTTGGTAGCATGTTATGAACACGTTGAGAACTTATCTTCGGAATTCTCAAGAACGCGCGCACGCTTTTGTTGAACACCCGCGCTGCGAAACCCATTTTGTGTATCTAGATATATCGATAAAACTTTCACAACATGACAGCCTGGCGAAAACCCCGACCATATGCAGTTGTGAGTGCCGCAAATGTGTGAATGTCTTCTTCGGTGGCGCTCCCTATGGGGCCACGAAGCGCTGTACTGGGTGGGTGAAACGCAGGGAGCAAGGGCTGTGCTGGGTGGTGGCGGACGCATGCGGGCGGTGCCACTGGGGCCTTCGGTGGAGCTCCCTATGGGGCCACGAAACGCTGTGCTGGGTGGGTGGAGCAAGGGCTGTGCCTGGGTGGTGGCGGACGCATGCGGGGGGTGCCACTGGGACCTTTGGTGGGGCCCCCTTATGGGGCCACGGAACGCTGTGCTGCGTGGGTGGAACGAAGAGAGCAATGGCTGCACTGGGTGGTGGCGGACGCATGCGGGCGGTGCCGCTGGGACCTTCGGTGGAGCTTCCTATGGGGCCACGAAGCGGTGTACTGAGTGGGTGGAACGCAGGAAGCAAGGGCTGTGCTGGGCGGTGGCGGACGCATGCGGGCGGCGCCACTGGGACCTTCGGTGGAGCTCCCTATGGGGCCACGAAGCGCTGTACAGGGTGGGTGAAACGCAGGGGGCAAGGGCTGTGCTGGGTGGTGGCGGGCGCATGCGGGCGGTGCCACTGGAGCCTTCGGTGGAGCCCCCATATGGGGCCACGAAGCGCTGTACTGGGTGGAAACGCAGGGGGCAAGGGCCGCGTTGGGTGGTGGCGGACGCATGCGGGGTGTGCCACTGGGACCTTCGGTGGGGCCCCTATGGGGCCACGAAGCGCTGTATTGGGTGGGCGAAACGCAGTGAACAAGGGCTGTGCTGGGTGGTGGCGGACGCATGCGGGCGGTCCCACTTGGGGCTTCGGTGGAGCTCCCTATGGGGCCACGAAGCGCTGTGCTGGGCGGGTGAAACGCATGGAAAAGGAGGAGGGAGGGGAGGGGGGGGAAGAGGAGGAGAGGACAAGAGGAACGCGGGGACCGTCTCTTGAAAACGCGGACCCAACACCACAGGATGGTTGGGAAAAAAATGTTTTTGGGTACTCGATTTTGAAACTCTTCCGAAACCAATGGTTTTTGCAGGACTTTGGCATGCGCGCGCGACGACGCGCGCGCGTGTACTTTGCCCGGCTTTTGCAAAGGGCCCAAGCAAACCTGTGATTTTGATAAACGAACGCGCGCGCATAATATTTTCTGCAGGGGGGCCAAAATGGGAACCGTACCGGCCTGGCTGGGATAATGAATTCACGGGTAGGATGGACAGCGGGTCAGAATTACTCGCGTTTTGCATAAGTTCCGGGGGGGTCGATGGACGAGTCCGGGGGGGCTGGCGGGGGGGGGGGGGGGGCGATAAAGCCTATTTCCTTTTTAGAGGGGGGAGCGCACTATAACGAACGAGTTGGCACATCCCATGCACTTGCAAACGCCCCGCCCGCCCACCCGCCACGCGGTTTGCAAAACCCACGCGGTGGCGATTGCGACGAGCGCCTGGCGTTAGCTGGTCCATCTCTGCGGCCGCGCCAACCCGTGCGCGCGCAGCGGCCAGCTAGTTTGGCGCGACGGACGCGGCCGCGGTGGCGCTGACCGCTGGGCGCATCCGAGCTGGCACTTCACTGCGAGTCGGCGACTGGGGCGGGCGCGGCATCGTGGCAACGTCGGCAGCGGTGGACGCGATGACAATGATGGCGATGCTGGTGGCGACGTTGACAACGACGACGGCGAGTCCATGACGCGCGCTGGTGCTGATCGCGCCGTCGACGAGGACGGCGCCCTCGCGTCGGCGACGAACATTGTGGAAAGAGTTCGACGCGCGCGCGCGGCCGGCGCGCGAGAATGGCCCGCGTGGTTTTATTTGACGCGGATCGCGCACCCCCAGCACGCGCGCAAGGGCGCGCGAATGACGTCGGCGCGCGGCGCCGGAGGCCCGCTGGGCCGAATTCCGTGAAGATGTTGAGAAACCTGTGGCGTTCCCAAGTACGCGCAAGAGCGCGAGCGCACGCTTCAAAAATAATCTTGCGAAACCATGTGTTTAATATAATGCTGAGGAAGTCGGTTTTGAAATCGCCGCGAAACCATGAGGTTTTGACGGGTTCTGGCACGCGCGCGAGACGGCGCGCGCGCGCGCCCACTTCGCTCCACTTGTTGCAGAAGATTCTCGCGACGGCACGCGCGCAAGGGCGCTCGGGCGATTTCGACATGCGCGCGCGAAGCCTGGTTGGTAGCATTTTCTGAAAATGTTGGAAAAACTATGGTTTTCGTTGGAATTCGTAAAACACGCGCGCGAGTATTCATATATATATATATATATATATATACATATATATACATATATATATATATATAGTAATATATATATATAAGTGTGTGTATATATATATATATATATATATCCGCGTTGCGAAACCATGTATTTAATATGTTGTGTAGACAGTCGGTCTTGAAATTGCTACAACTCCGAAGGTTTTTGACGACGGCGGGCGTGCGCGCACTTCGCCCCGTCTGTTGCAAAGGATTCTCGCGACGGCACGCGCGCAAGGGTGTTCGAGCGATTTCGACACGCGCGCGCGAAGCCCGTGTGGTAGCATTGTCTGAAAATGTTGAACAACCGCTTGTTTTCTGGAGAATTTCCCAAAACGCGCGCAAGTGTTTTTTTGTTTGAAATTCTTGTTGCGAAATGAAGTGCGTGTATACGTTATAGGTACATGTGTATATACACACATCTATACATATATATATATATATATATATGTATTATAGAGATTTGACACTCGATTTTGACATCCTTACGGAAACACAAATGTTTGAAAGATTTCGGCATGCGCGCGCAACGACGCGTGCGTGTGAATTTCGACACATCTGTTGCAAGGGATTCTTTGATACTTATGATGTTTGATAAACGTGCGCGCGCATAACCTTTTTGCGGGGGATGGCGGGGGGGGGGCGATGCCGGTTGGGCTGGCATGGTAAGAACTCACGTTTAGGATGGGCGATGGGACAGAATCATCTGCACAATGAAATACGGAAAAGGGGGTGGATAATCCCGGGGGGTAGACCCTATTTATTTTATATAAAGGAACATCTACGTGGTGCACTTGATTTTAACAAACGAGTTGACACATCCCACGCTCTTGTAAACATCACACCCACCCAACCGCAACATGGTTTGCAAAACCCACGCGGCGGCGATTGCGATGCATGCTTGGCGTTGGCTGGTGCATTTCCCTGCGGCCGCGCCAACCGTAGCACGCGCGCGTAGCGGCCAGCTTGTCTGGCGCGACCGACGCGGCCGCGGTGGCGCTGACCGCTGGGCGCGTCCCAGCGGGCATGTCACTGCGAGCCGGCGACTTGGACGGGCGTGGTATCATGGCAACGCCGACAACGGTAGACGCGATGATGGTAGTAGCGATGTTGGTGACGATGTTCGCACCGACGAAGGCGCGGCCAGTGCGGGCGCCGATGCTGATCGCGCTGACGACGATGACGGCGTCCTCGCGTCGGTGATGAAGGTTTTGGGAAGAGTTCGCCATGCGCACGCGGCAAACGCGCGAGAGCGGCCCGCATGGTTTATTTGACACAGACGGTGCCCTCCCAGCACGCGCGCAAGGGCGCGCGAATGATGTCGGCATGCGGCGACAGAGGCCCGCTTGGCAGAATTCCATGAACATTTTGGGACACCGATGGTTTCTTAAGAATTCGCAAGAGCGCGCATGCTTCGTATGGAAAACTGATGCTGCGAAGCCACGTATTGCTGTATATAACTTTGACATTCACTTTTGAAATCGTTACGAACCGAAAGTGTTTTTGTTTATACGGGCTTCGGCATGCGCGCGCGACGACGCGCGCGCGTGCAACTCGTCCTACCTGTTGCAAGGGATTCTCGCGACGGCACGCGCGCATGGGCGTTCGAACGATTTCGACATGCGCGCGCGAAGCCCGGTTTGATAGCACATTCTGAGCATGTTGTTTTAAGTGTTTGTTGGGGCACTCGATTTTGAAATCCTTTCGAAACCGAATGTTTTTTTTTGTCCCCCAAGATTTCGGCATGCGCGCGCGACGACGCGCGCGTGCACTTCGTCTAATTTTTGCTAGCGGCTTTTGAAAACGGCTGATTTGTGATAAACGAGTGCGCGCGCATAGAACTTTTTGCAAGGGATGAGGGGGGGGAGGGGGGGGGCGATACTGGTTGGGCTGGGATGGTACGAATTCATATGGATGGACGATGGGGCAGAATCGTACGTAAATTGCAACACGAAAGGGGGAACCGATAATCCGGGGGGGGGTAGAGTCTATTTACGTTTTCGAATGGAAAATCTATGCGACGGCGACGGCGGCGACGGGCGGCACCGCCCGCAAAAGCCGCCACTCGTTCCGAGCGGCGGTGACGGCGACGGCGGCGACGGCGGCGACGGGCGGCGACGGACGGCGACGGGCGGCACGGCGACGAAATACCGGCGGACTTCTCGGAACTGCGCCGGACCCCCCCCTCCCTGGCGCGCGGAGCGCTCCGAGCGCGGGGCCCAGCGCGGATGCAAGAGGCTTCGCGCGGAGCGCCAACAGTTTATGCTCATGCCGTGCTTTCTTCTTGGAAAGAAGCGGCACATGCACAAGTGCTCGGAGGTCCGCGCGAGCTGCGTGGGCCGGCGCAGGGCCCCCCCTCCCTGGCGCGCGGAGCGCGCCGGGGGCGGCGCGGCCGGGCGCTCACCGCCGATCCAAGCAGTACTCGCGGGGCTCCGGAAGTTGATGTTTGTGCCACGTCTGCTGCTGTGGCGGCGCGCACCAGGGGGCTGGGGGTAAGGGGGGGTAGGGGGGAGGCTTCGTGGAAGGAGGCTGCTTCTTAGCCGGCGCTGGCCTCACGTCTACAGACGAGGCCCGCACCTTGGAAAAAGCAGGAGTGCCTCTGAGAAGCATCCAGCCCTCCCCCTGCCCCCCTCCGCGCGTGGCCGACTGATTTTTCTTTTCCTACTTTTTCTTGTCCTCCTTCTTCCTATTATAATGAAAGTTATGAATCTCATTATCATTACGACCACGATACCCAATTATTCATACGAGCCGTGTTATTATTCGTACTATTAATAGTACTCGCAACACTATCATTACTAGTACGGGTAAGATTCGCATTACGATTCGTATCATCATAATTAATGTACTATTCGTATTCGCATGATTACTACTGTTATTTTAATAATGATAACATTATTGGTCGCAGCAGTATTCTTGATAGTACGATGATGATGATGCTGATGATGATGAGTCGTATTCTTATAACAAGACATGTTGATATTATTCGTGCTTTTATTATTATGATTACTTTTGTTGTTATTCGTATCATTATTATTATCGTGTTTGTCTTCGATCCTTCGAGCTCATGTCGAGCAGCTGCAGCACCTCCTCCTCGGGCAGCGTGCCGTTGCTCGCCGCCTCCTGGCGCAGGGCGTCCGCCTCCAGCGCGAGCCTCAGCTGCGTCTCGTGCTCCGCCTCCGCACGGCGGTGCAGCTCCATCTTCTCCCTCGCCCGGGCCTCGGGGCGAACGATCGCACGCCGGCCGGAAGACATTTACAGTCCACCAGTATAGTAGGACCTGGGCAGGGCAACCAGTACAGTATGGTAGAATAAGAAGTTGACAGTCCACCAGTATAGTAGGACCTGGGCAGGGCAGCCAGTACAGTATAGTATGATAAGAAATGTGCAGTCGACCAGTCTAGTACAGTATCGTTACAGCGAAGCCGCACGAGCCTGGGCAGGGCGGGCTGTCGGGCCCCTGCTGGCGATCACTGCGGGCGACCGGGGTCGACGCATCCCTTCCTCGGCCTGCAGGCAAGCCGGATGGTAAGGATGCGCGATAAGGATGCAAAGGGCCTTGGACGCCCATGTCGAAGCTTTTCGAGCGGGGCGCGGAGGCGAAAGCGGCGAAGGATGGACCGAGGAGGCAAGGATGCAAGGGTACCCTTGAGAAGGTTGCCCATCCTTGCTGTGCGGGCTGACTGCATGCTGCATCGTGATCGTTTCCTTATTCGGCGTTTCGACACGGGGCGGAAGGGGGCGGGGGAGGGGGGGGGGGTGCGGTCTGGCTCGGGACCTCTGCTTCATGCGACTGTTTGCAGCAGTGCGTCCTCTGGGGGAGGCTCCACCTGCCTGAAACAGGCGCCCAAAACAGCCAAAATCTACTCCACGGAATAGGGGGGGAGGGGGGGGTCCGAGGGCCCGCGCCGATCGGCAAAACAATGAATAACAAAAACGATCACATCCTCGGGGAAGCTCGTCTGTCCCGTCGCGGCCCCATCCGCATCGAATCCGTGTCGGATCCACGTCGGCCTCGTCGGATCCGTGTCGAATCCGTGTCGAATCCGCGTCGAGTGCACGCCAAATCCGCGTCGAGGCCGCATCGAGCCCGCGTCGGGCACGAGAAAAGACGCCAAATGTGGGGAGAGGCGAGGTCCCCGCGAAGATGCAGCGCAAAGAACTGGGGGAATTCGCAGGCCCTGCACCCCAAAAACGTCTTCATCGCCTGGAGGCGCTCCTCCTCCTCCTCCCCCTCCTCCTCCTCCTCCTCCTCCTCCTCCTCCTCCTCCTCCTCCTCCTCCTCCTCCTCCTCCAGGTGGCCGTCCGCAGGTTTCCGCTGGCTTCCGCCGGCGGAGGCGGCCTCGCTTCACTTCCGCCGACCGTCCGCCGCGGAAGAGATGACAGCTCCTTCGATCCTCGAAGGCAAGGCCTTGTTTGGAACGCCCCACATGAAGTAGGAAGGCGGATGAGAGTAGATTGGCTTCGGGCCCGCCCAGACAACAGCGGAAGACAGTAGGACAGATCGACTCTTGAAGCGGGAAGGCGCTTGAAGCAGGTTGAGATCTAGGAGCCAAGCAAATACCTGCTTCCAACGACCGGCGTGCAGAGAGAGGGACTGGCTCAGGACGGGGGGACGTCGAACTGGAATCGGCGATGCATCGCCGACGGATCGGCAATAGGCCCCCGATAGCGAAGCCGCACGGACCTGGGCAGGGCGGGCGATCGGGACCCTGCTGGCGATCAATGCGGGCGACCGGGGTCGACGCATCCCTTCCTCGGCCTGTAGTCAGCCCGGATGGTAAGGATGCGCGATAAGGATGCAAGGGCCTTGGACGCCCATTCCGCAGCGCTTCGAGCGAGGCGCGGCCAACGAAAGTGTCCAACGATGGACCCAGGAGGCAAGGATGCAAAGGTACCCTTGGGAGGGATGCCTATCCTTCCTATTTGGACGCCCGAAATGGGTACGGAAAGAATGGGTACAATGCCCAACAACAATTGTTGTCCCAAACCAACAGCGGCCGCTGTTGGGCAGGCGGACTTCTGTCTCAAATGGACACGGGCCGCGGCGGCGCGGACAGCGAGTCGTGTTCAAAATGAGGAGGAACTGCTGTTGGGCTTTGTACCCATTCTTTCCGTACCCATTTCGTTCGTGCAGATACTGTGCGGGTCGACTGTAGGCCCCCCGATAGCGAAGCCGCACGGTCCTGGGCAGGGCGGGCTAGCGGGCCCCTGCTGGCGACCAATACGGGCGATTGGGGCCGGCGCAGCCCTTCCTCGGCCCATCCCCCCATCCCCCCACGGAGGAGGAGGAGGAGGAGAAGGAGGAGGAGGAGGAGAAGGAGGAGGAAGAGGAGGAGGAGAACGAGGAGGAGGAGGAGGAGGAGGAGGGTCGGCGCACCCCTTCCTCGGCCTATCCCCCCCCCCCCTTTCGTTGCCCCCGGCGGCCTTGTCCGCCTGCTTTCGCCCCTCCACCTGGAAGGACAGCCAACAAAACCACGACGCACGGCTGTGCCCTGCCTCCAATGCTTCGCCCTGGGCGTCTTCGCACTGATTACCTACCAGACCACCCCAACCCAACCCGAAGACCCGAATTTCGGGTTGGGGGGTGTACGGCTTCCATTTGTGTTTTTACCTAACAGCGAAGACTGATAGGTTTCTAGTTGACTCAAAAGAGCTCACAGATCACTCCACAGGGGGGTCCGGGCAGGCGTGGGGAGTTGCCGGCCGTGCCTGTGCCGGGCTCGTTTTTCACCAACAGTCACACACTTCGTGCTCGTCGACCTCTCAGAACCCCATTCCCAGGCCACATTCTGAATAACCGGATCCAACTGTAGGCCACTTCGTGCTCTTCGACTTCCCAGAACTCCATTCCCGGGCCACATTTTGAATGCCCGGAGCCAACTGTAGGCCACTTCGTGCTCTTCGAGTTCCCAGAACTCCATTCCCGGGCCACATTTTGGATGCCCGGAGCCAACTGTAGGCCACTTCGTGCTCTTCGATTCCCAGAACTCCATTCCCGGGCCACATTTTGGATGCCCGGAGAACTGTAGGCCACTTCGTGGTCTTCGAGTTCCCAGAACTCCATTCCTGGGCATGATTTTGAATGCCCGGAGCCAACTGTTAGGCCATTCCCGGGCCAGATTTTGGATGCCCGGAGCCAACTGTAGGCCACTTCGTGGTCTTCGAGTTCCCAGAACTCCATTCCTGGGCATGATTTTGAATGCCCGGAGCCAACTGTAGGCCACTTCGTGTCTTCGAGTTCCCAGAACTACATTCCCGGGCCACATTTTGAATGCTGAGGCAGGCTGAGGCTGAGGCTGAGCTGCAGGCTGCTGATGAGGCTGATGGCAGGCTGAGGCTGAGGCTGAGGCTGATGAGGCTGAGGCTGAGGCTGAGGCAGGCTGAGGCTGAGGCTGAGGCAGACTGAGGCTGAGGCTGAGGCTGAGGCAGGCTGAGGCTGAGGCTGAGGCTGATGTGAGGCTGAGGCCTGTTGCCACTGCGACTGTCATCGCGAATGCGACTACGACTGCGAGAACAGCACAATTCTACAACTGGATTCTCATCTGAATCTTAAGGGGAATGCTTCCAGATATGCTCCTACACATCGCTGTTAGGTTGCTTTGCCGGGATAATTCCAATGTTCCACGAACCCCCCCCCCCCCTGGAAATGGAGGGCAAATTGAGGCCTTCGGATTGGGTTGGGGTGGTTTGGTGGGTGGTGACGTACAGTCTCGCGCCCTGGGACCGTCACAGGTCGGTCCAGCTCGAGCATGCAGCAGGAAGATGGAGCTCAGGACTCCGGTCATGATTTTTCTCGATGTTGTAATGATGCTCTTCGCAACGTCGGGTCTCAGGGAGCGAGCTAAGGGAGGGGCAGGGAGAAGGAGGTGGGTGAACGGTGAGGGAGGACAGAGAGGGGGGCGCATGGGAGGAGCGCTAGCCGACTCGGGATGAAAAGGATGGGTCCTTGGGAATGGGTCGAGACATCTAGGGGTCGACGCCTTGGAAAAGACCATGACAAGTCTGGGAGCGCGTCGGAAGCGCCGGGGAGCGCCTCGGGGCGCTTGGAGCGCTTGCGAGCGCTTGGGAGCGCACGAGAACGCGTGGAGCGCCGGGGAGCGCCTGGAAGCGCCCGGGAGCGCCCGGGAGCGCCTGGCAGCGCTTGGGAGCGATTGGGGGCGCTTCGGAAGCCCCTGGTAGCGCTTGGGACGTGAGTCTGGGACTGCAGTCGAGTGTTGGGTCGGGCATGTCCCCCTACAGGCGGACTTGGGGCGAAACATGAAAAATACCGAGCAACAAAAAACCCAAACGGTCGAAACATGCTCCAGACACGGTCCCCAGACGTCAAAACCAAATACGGCAGGTTCGTGTCGTGCCGACCCCAGCGTTGGTTTTTGACACCGCAGGGATCGTTCAACCTTGAACGATCGGCCGCAGCCGCAACGTCCGATCGTTCAACATCGATCGATTCTGGGTCGCCGGCGGCGTTCAACCTTGAACGCCCGCGCTGGGGTCGCCGCTGGTCGACACGACGCAAACCTACCGTACAAGTCT